CTATACTAATCACTGTGCAGCAGAGAGTGGAAACCTTCACAAGAATCATTATTCTTGGGAAGGTCAGCCCTCATTTTACTTTATATGAAATGATGCTAATGACTGTTCCATTCTGTGCCATCATTAAGAGGACAAGGTTGGATTGTGAAATAGAGCACAATTCCACCACACCCAAATTACAGGAAAGAATGGGGGAGCTTTTCAAGGATAGCTAAATTACAGGAAAGAGTGATTACTCTTTCCAAGGGTGCAGGAAAAGAGTGAAGCTCTTTTCCAGGATAACAGGACCATCAATGGAGTATCCTTAAAAATGCCGTTGCACAGGAACTCATTCAACACTGTGGCTACAGATAGACATAGAGCAGGGATGACCCAAGTGACTATACTATACTGTGCTTGGTTGTGATCGACTATTCGTCGTCGTTCTAACGAGATTCTACCCCTATACACGATGCAGGTTTATAAACAAGCAAAAGAAAGAAAGAAAGAATGAATGAATAAAAGCACGCACCAAGAGGGTTTGGCGCAGGGTGAGGTTCTGGAAGAAGACGTCGTGCTGCAGCACGTAGCACGTTTTCCGCTTGTGCCGCTTCTGCAAGTCCTCTCCGTTGAAGCTCACACAGCCGCTGTCGGGCTTCAGTCGACCAGACAACACGTTCAGCAGCGTCGTCTTGCCAGCACCTGTCATCGACAAACACCGGCCTCATCATCATCATCCATCATTAACCATCAATCATGAGCAATTAATTAACATATATCCGTCATGTGTAATTCTGGGGGGGGGGGGGGGCACCTGTAAATATAATATCTCGTGAACTATTTTTTAAATTTCGACCTTGGATCATGGGCTTTGCGGTGCATAATACAGAATGATGGAAAGAAAAGAATCCATTCCCTTGAGTTGAAACAATGCATCGAAATCATAGAGAAAAACGTGTGTATCAGAGATCTCATCCCCAATAAATCTATCACACATCGGACGAATGAAAAAAAATAATAATAAAGCTTGTAATCAAATTCTAAAACCAAGTGAGGATATATTATACTGTACAGTAATTAGTCATCGGAACACGTAAGTACAGTACAGTAATACGTGTTGTTTTTTCGAAATAGGCGGGAGACGAAGTGCCGGCTGCAGAGTCTTCGTACGGACACATAGATGTCACTGCTGCTACAGGACAGTCATTGGCGCCAAATGAGAAAGTTAATCGAACTGTCCGGAAAGATCGCGCGGATATTCACGCCGAGAAATTCCATACGGTAATTTGCAGCACATTAAGCATCACCACTGACAAACAACGAGACAAATTCCACCAAATTTCACGCAAGGAGTCGAAGATTCTGTAGTACAGTAGTGTATACTGAAATTGATCTTTAATCTTACACATTTCCAGAGCTTGTTCCATCATCTTTGATTTCGTATAACACGGCTGCAATCTTCATTGAGATTATTCTGTTTTCAATACTGTACTGTACTCTGAGAAAACAAAAAATCACGTGTGCGATACATATGTATAGTTGCACTATAGCATTTCAAATCCCTTCAATTTTGTCAATTCCAAATGTTGAGACCTTGTTTCAAACTGGCAGTAAAAACACTTCTTCCAATACAGTACTGTATTCCCTTCGTGTTCAACCTTTGAAACAACTCGTGGCAGTACATCATCATCGTATAGGGATGAGCCATAGTTTCCAGAAGGTATACAGTACACTATATACTGTATCACATGTCATTGTTTTCCACGTCCTCACGAGAACATATAATATTAGTTACAACGGTTTTACACGGTATTTACGGTACGTAAAAAAAAAGGAGACAAAACTTGAAAGCAAATAATAAAGTTAAGATGAAGCATGAGGAAGCTTTTCGTTTTCTCTTCTGCTGACAGCACCTGCTGCCGGCCAATAAATGCAAGCAAAAGTGCCATAAAAGTTGAATGAACTATCAACGGGAAGATGAACGAATGCATAAACTTTCATCATACTTTCCCCTTGATTTCAGTTACATCATGCCCAGGTTCCGAGACCGATGACTCTACTGTGTGTGGTACATTTGCAAACGCCGACAAAACGGATGGCGAACTCTATTAGGGTATTTTATAAAACCGTACAGTACAAGTGTACACACAGTGCATTCGTACTGCACCTGAAAGGCTGTTTTTACTGAACAGCACGCTGTGATAAAATCTCGTTACAACGCACTGTCAGAGGCCAGCGGAATACGGTATGATCTTGACGAAAAATTGCTATAATGATATTCATCCTTCTTGAAGCATTCAGGACTTTGTAAATTTGGTGGGAAAATGGCAATAATTGCTTCAGAGTGCCTCTATAACATATCGTTGAAGCATTTTCATCATCTCCCTTTTTTGTGATAAACTAATCCAGAAAAATAAAAATACACTATGCAATTACAGTATATAATTGTATGCCTTCCCTTTTTTAATTTCCCTTTTTTTAAACTGTACAATAGAGCAGTATTTATTTTTTCAATGACGCTTATTTAAAAAATTAGCCATTTATAAATTCGAAAATAAAGCTCGATAAATTCTGATGAGAGCATAATTCATTTCTTCCAGCAGTGATGCTTTCTATGCATAACAAATGACATTTACATTTTATTTTGACTTTTAATGATGCACACGTTGGATTTCCCGCTTTTCCCAATCATAAAAGTGTTTATGGCTCTACACATAGTGAAGGCAAAACATTCATAATACTAAACTGAGATTACTTGTGGAGATTAATTTATTAAAACGAAAAAATTGTTTCTTTGGAGAAACAGCCGGGATGAATGGAAAAATAATTAGTTCCAACAACGAATTTATTGTACTGTACATAACTTGATTCGTTGTAACGGAATTTCCCTGTACTGTACTGTACTGTACAGTACAGTATTTTAATTTGGGTACTGTATGTCTGCTCAGCAATTCCATATCTGACCTGAGGGACCCATGACGGCCAGGATCTCGCCTGGCCTGACGAAGCCGCGGATGTTGGCCAGCAACGGGACCTTGTCGACACTGACACACACGTCGTGGAATGCCAGGTCGACGGTGGCACAGGACCGTGGCGAGCCCGGCGGCGGCGTGAAGGCGTCCACGCCGGCCAGGAGGCGGCCCTGCAACTTGTTGTTGTTGTTGTTGTTTTCGATGGCGCCTGACGACGCCATCATCGTCGTCGCCGTCGCCGTGGTCGTCGTCGTCGGCGTCGTTGTCATCGTCGGCGGCGGCACTGCCAAGAGGGGCTCGTCGTCCGGCATGTCGAGCGTCGTCGCAGTGCCAGACGGTGGCAACGCTTTCTGCAAGTGCGTGGCGGCAGGCTTCTCGTTCGTCGTCGTCGTCGTGGTCGTCATTCTTCCTATTGCTTCCTGACGACACGACGTACTGGTGCGGTACGCGAGTACGACACTCGGGGATCAAGAAACGAAACAAAACGAAAACTCTCGACGGCACGTGTCCCGCATGCAGCCGAGCTCCTCTCTTTCCGAGTACCGAATTATTTTGAAATCTCTTAATCGCACGGGTTGTGGAGAGAATGTCAATTCTGAAAGCCACGAAGAGAATAAAAGCAATTGATTAGATGTGTGTGTGTGTGTGTGATGGGTGTCGGAAAAATTACTGACACCTACGAACGAGGGTTTTCCCATAGATGTACGCGACCTCTGATATTTTAATACAGTAGTAGGCTTGAATTGATGAAAGAAAGAAGAATAAAAACATGACATATATAGCCCTTGATGTTTCAAGGTTCTGGGATCCCTTTTTCTTAGGATTTATTTTAAGCAAACAGTTTTTTCTCAATTTACTGCACGATGATACTGTAATTGAAAACTTTCCGGTTCAATCCAAAGTTCTTGATCCACGTCACGCGCGCCGTACTAGAATTTGTCAGACTAGCTGAAAAAATGAAATTTCTCCATTATTTTAACGAGTATGTGAAATGTAGAAAGATATCGGGTATTTTATTAAAGTAACAAGCATTTTCAAAATGTTTGAGCTGGTCTCACAACTTTGTACGTATGTCGTCCCTGTAACATCAGAGGAGAAATTCTGGCTGTAACTGCATGATCATCACGCAGAGGAAATGTAAAAATGTTTTTGGAAATTTCAAAAAATCTCCGAACCGTTCATCTAATATTACCGGCTATTATGCAGGGATTCCATTTCCACAATCTACACCTACCATCGAAATGTCATTCAGAGGTCAATCTCGTCCAACCCGGGCAACACTTATAAAACGAGCGACGCGATTTTCGCGGGAAAGAATTAAGTTACACACGTCTCGCTGTCGAAAATGACAATGAATGCGAATTCACGAATCACACTCTTCCTCGTAATTTACAGTACACTATACACAATATCTGAGTTAAATCTCCGAACGTCACAATAAACATTCACTGATTCACGGGACAAATTTGGAAGCTGAAAAAGAATTGCGATTTCTACAGTGTATGAAGAAACTGATGGGAATGGTGAAAGTACAGTAGTACTGTACAGTATTGTAAAAGCCAGTTCTGATTCTATTTGATGACGGGCAGTTGTAAATCATCAGAGATGAAATTCGTCATCCATTATTCACGCATACGCTCGAAAATAAAACCCCTCATTTACAGGACAGTATATCTAAAAGAATTCACGAAAAAGAGGAAGGCATTAAACAAGCTCATTCGATTCATCAATATACTGTATACAGTACTCCCGGTTTTATGGCAATGAAAAATTTCTTCGCTATACTGTATTTTGTATGACTTGGGCAGCTGCGGCTGCTCAGCACAGCTCGAAAGAATATATTCATATGCAGTAACTGGTGTACATTAATTTGGTTCAAAACGTTTATCCGAAATGCCTCGGAAATTTTTCCAACAAAATATTACGTTGAAGGAAGCTCTTCTGCGATCATCCACGGGAATACAGTCCAATTAAACATGCATCACTTGATGATTATTTTAAACAGACGCGCAACTTGACGACTTAAAAAAAAAGAAGTCAGGGAAACGAGACGCCTAGAAATCCCACTTCTAACTCTAAAATATCAGGAATCGACCGAAATAATGATGCTGCTTGAATGGTCGTGGGATAAAACACGACCGATTTCACCACTGCCTGCAAAATCCTATAATTGAATCGGCATCGGATATGCACGCGAATCGCTCACTTTAAATCACTGCACAACACGAATCCTTGTTTAATCCAGCTTTCCCCAACCCGTGGTCCGCGGACCGGCGAAGGTCCGCAGAATTATTTGCCAGTCCGCAGGCAAATAATTGTCTGCTGCTTAGTGAATTGACAAAAATGGCAATGACGTCTGTTATTATTTTTTCTGAAGTGTTGGAAACACATAGGTAGTGAAAATTATCTGATGAAAAAAAAAAAAGAAAGTTGGGGGGTTTCCTCCTCATAACACTGCGAGGAGGAAAAAGTTAGGGTGAAAAATTGTCACCTACAGAAAAGAACTACAGTATATAATTTTTTTGAATTCTGAGAAACCTTTTTTCAAGCCCACACATCTAATTTTTCAGGCATTCCACCATACGTCCTGTTGTTTTTCATTGGTTCATAATTTTCGCAAAAAATCATAACTTATTAAATACCTGCCATCAAGTATTATTTCAAGTTTCAAGCAAAACTTTCGAGTCTGCAAAAAATTTAAGAAACTTTGTCAGTCTGCAGAAACATTTTGTGAAATTTGCCTGTCTTCGAAAACTTTTATGGAAATTTGCTGGTCTGCGTCGGGACCAAAAAGGTTGGGGAACACAGTATATAATGTCCACTGCACAGCATTGTAAGTAAATAACGCATAATCCTTCCTATTCTTTTCAATCCCTGAAAAACTTGAACGATACAATCACACACAAACACATCAGTCCAGCCGTGCTCCACAGGAGAGCCAGGCAGCCGAGTGTCAGAGCTGGGCTCAAATGAGCTGGGCTCAACTTAGCTGGGACAAGCTGAGCCAGGAGCGAGGCCCCAGCTGCCACGACGGGCACCGGCCGTCTACTGACACGGAGGCCGGGGCCGCACTGCCCTGACATCCATCCTCGAGCAACCACCGCGCGCCGCCCGAAGCCTCATCCACGATGATGGTCCCACATCCCCGTCCGGCGGGCTGGAACATGCAGCTCGACTTTGTCTCTGACTGACTGACTGACTCACTTGACTTGACTTGACTCGACTGATGATGCATGCAGCTCCCATCGAATACTGCTGCTGGTTGAGTTGCTGAGGATTTTTGAGGTTGAGGAGCAGCAGGGTTATAGCCTGTACAGCAATAAAGTACGGTACAATACACAGTATACTAGCACTTGCGCATCTGCTTTCTTGCTTGGTTTCCTTGTCATCCAACATTTTGAATGGCCATGCTGGTATTAGGCGAACAAAACAAGTTCAACAAGTTTAATTCATAGCTCCCTCTCAGGCAGAGCCAGATTTCCGGCATTATTTACCTAATACTATTACCACGCAACCTGCATGATGAGTAAAAGACAAGCACCTCACTTTATTTCCCTAAAACTTTGATCAAAATGAGAGGCATCAGAGGGCAAAATGTAAACATTAATTCAACCTAGTTTATTAATTTTCAATTGCTTCGATCTTTTTAAAAAAAATTCTTGTCAAGTTCATTCAAGTTACATTCAAGTGTGATGAACACCTAAACTTACTATGATTATATTATTTTGAACATTGTATCCCTGCCTTTAATGCCCACTGTCTTTTTTTTTCCTCCCAGTTTTCAGAGAAAGGTGGAAATGATACTCAAGCAAATAACGAATATTTTCACTATTTTTTGCCAGATGTAACACAAGTTGGAAAGAAAAAAATCTGGTCGGATCACCAGGGCCAACGTCCAGAAAAATCCAAATACAGGCAGACTCCCTCTTCATCAGAATTGTCTGTCACGGTTTTTCTTTGCCGATTAAATTTCATTTTGTTTCATGCATATATGCTTCACTCCCAAAGGTTATAGGAGTGGTTATCTAGATTACTTTAGTGTACTGAAGCAAACGGAAACGACCAAATTATTGCGAGCCTCAGAAAACTCGTAAAATAAAGGCGCGACGATGGCAGAACGATAAAAGCAATGAATGCCGCGTTTTAGCGAGTACCGCACATAAGGATACCATTTCCGGATAGTTTCCTCAATCGACATCTGTCCTTTCTTCAACATTTCCTCCCCTTTTCGTTACTAATGGAAAAATATGAACAATCTTATTGTTATTGAAACCCTCAATGAATATAATGCAATACTTTAAGCATGCAGTGGTTCACAGAGGCTGTTGGAAGATTACGTAATAAAATGTTCACATGAATTATGTAAACAACGCATGCATAAATTGGGCGTCATCGTTTCCCAGCATAACAACGCTGTTATTGAAGTTTGTGTTATTCCGAGGCACTGAATGCTGTAAGATTCTGTTGCAATAAATCTCATTATAAAGCCGTTTTCTTGTAAGTAAATTTTTCTTGGTCATCCCGGCAGTTTCCTCGTATATGGAGAATCTCATAAAATGTTGTCACATCGATCTGCTTTTCCTCAATAATCTCACTATAATGATTTTTGGCCTTAATGATTTCTGCAGCAGAAGTCATATAAAGTTCCGTAAATTATCTTGATGTGGGAAAACTGAACTCATGCTGAATTGAAAGACCTAAAAAAAAATCTTGAGTTAAAAATAAAAGTTAGCAGTGCAGGACGTATGAAGCTCAAATCAACATTTCTTCAGCTCCATTTTATAATTTATAAATTGCTATACAATTTTTAAAGATAGGTGCGTTTGGAAGGATAATGCTAATAAAGGGACCACACAGTTTTTAATGCAAAACGTTTTTCACAGGTATTTTCTGTTCACGCTGACCATCTTCAGTATGTTATTAGAAAATGTATAGCAGGAATGGTCTGAAATAAGAGAATTACGTTCAGAATCTTCCTGATTAATTCATTCAAAGAAGTTGGACATTTGGTCCATTCTTCACTTGTTGAAGTGCAGTGCTCCAAAAATTTGTTGAAACAAGATTTTACTGCATGCATGTGCATGTATGAAGTCCATGATGAACTACAGTACTGGCACAGCAGTTTCTGTCCAACTTATGGTACAGCACTTCCAATTGACGGTATGCAAACTTTTTTCCCGCGCGATGTACTCCCGATATACAGCAGTACAGTACAGTGGGCCCCCATCTTACGTCATCAATCCGTTCCAGTATGGATGTCATAACATGGGGCCGTCATAAGTTGAAACCCTATTTCCCTTAAGATTACATTATGAAAAAATTAATTTGTTCCAGAAAAAAAATATTAAACTAAAATTACCTTTATATTTCAACTTTTTAATTCCTCCTAAACAAAATTATTCAGCTATAATTAAATGCACAGGGTAGTACAGAAAACACAAAATTCAAAATCCCTCCTAAACACAATTATTCAGCAATAATGAAATGAACTGTACAGCAAAAACAAAATTTAAAAAATGCTCTGAACACAGCAATTTCCAAACTTAAGGACAATTTATTTCCTGTGCATGGTGCCATCTCACACTATTAACAGTTTAATCTGGCTAGGAATGAATCTTGGCACAAAAAAAACTCACTTCCTCCCAGAAAAACCTTTGGAGCATGCATGGCGCCAAAAAAATGGTTGGTGGGAGGGAGCTGTAAAACCTCAGAAGCTGTCGTATCATGAAACCTCAACGTAATTTGGGGGTTTTTTTATATTTAAAAAAGCGTTGTAAGTTGAAACCAATGTAAAATCGGCCCGTCGTAAGTTGGGGGCCCACTGTATTCATCAATGATGCTTGGAAGTTGGTTGTTTCACCCCTTAGATGCCTATATGTATGCCGGAGAGGTTCCCAATGCAGCTTTATAATGTTTTAAAATTTTGTGAAGCACCTCAAAATGATATTCAAGTCCATACCCAGGCAATCCCAATGATCACTTAGGACCATCAAAAGAATTATACAGATTTTGGCTGGCCATTTTTTGTTTCTTTTGTGAAAGCTACATGTCATACTCCATGCAATTTCAAATCAATATCTGGATTATACTCCATTCAATTGAAGATACATATCTGGATATTTTTAATCAATAAATTTGGACATGGTCAAAAACACTTCTGCTGAATTGCTTTTCATCAAAGAGAAGGTATATTCAATTTCCTAAGTGAACCAAAAAGCACTGAGACTTTCTGTCTGCTTAGTCCTTATAGTTTATGCTGAATACAAGAATGCAGTACTACCTTGAAATCTATTAGTGGGTTAGCAACAGCAGTATGGAGTTATCTTCAGGACCTAAAGCAGACAATAATCTGCACTTGGAAAAATTCAGCATCGTAGACAGATTTTTCCAAGTGATTTTGCAGTTATTAGGAACCTTGCCCGTCGGAAACTTACTCCAGGGGAGACCAAAATTCACTCGCTTGTCCTTGGGAACATTGCTTACGGTGACATGGATACTGTATTCCGCTTATTTCCTTCTTTGGCGAAAAATTTGGCTAGCAAGTGAGACAATCTGATTCTTGAGCAATGTCAAAACGATTTATGCATGGATTTTTATCAATAGTTGGAAAACCATTGTTTACCGGTGGCAGTGAGTCATGGCCAACTCTCAGCATAACTATGAACATATCCATCACCATCATCACTTTGGTGTTCTTTGCGTGTTTGTGTAGCGCTCTTTCACGCGCGAAATCCATCGCTAATGTCTTGGAGACGTCGATCGCGGTTCAAGCTGATTTCCGCGCCCATGGCATCAGTGCATCATTTTCGAAGAAAGAGATTCTCACCATCGTGTTTCTCGTCCTACCTGCTTTAAGTCTTTGGAATTCGGCTTTTGAATTTGTCTCGAAACCTCCGTTGGATGCTGTCATGGTAAGTCAGTTCTAATTCGTCCGATCGTGTGATTTTCAAGTGAAGCCAAGTACTGTAGTGCACCATAAAATCTCTGTTCAATATCGTAGGTAGTGATGGAGACGTGCCCGTACTTACATCCAGTGCCTCTCTCGATTTTGATGCTGCGACTGTTATCCTTCATGACTAAGGGACTAGAATCCGTGTTCGTGCAACTCGAGTCTTTGACAAATGTTCATCATCCTGATGGTGAACGCTTGAAGGCGGTGCGAAGACGCGCATTTGCTTCGTATAGAAGCGTGATGCTCCTCTGCGAATCTTTCAAAAACGCTTTCGGATTCATCACGGCGGCGCTTTTCTTGGAACATTTCATGGGCGTGTTGTTGCTCTCATTCACTGTCACGAGCAGTTTCATGAATCAATCAGTAAATGAAGATGACCCTCCATTAGTGGTAATGACGTTTGGAATTTGTTTGGACATAACGTTGATGGTGCTCCTGTGTTCCGCCGGACAATCGATCATCGATCAGGTTTGTAAATTACACCGTTCCTTGATATTCTATTGTTCGTGTGTGATGGATTACCGTGCGCGTTATCCATTCTGAAGAATTTTCTTCGAGGAGCATTTGTTTTAATGGGTTCCCAATAACCTTCTTATGCAGGACGATAAAATTAGAATGTGCATCAGGGACATGCAGCAGTCGCCCATTTCCCCGGAAATTCAATTCTTGAAAGTTCCTTCGCTTTCCGGTGAATTCGAAGTTGGAGCGAATTCCTTAGATCGGATCCTGTTGTGCAAAGGAGCATCTGTCACAGCTGACGACTATTTCGAGTTGAAAAACAGTAACGTTCCAAACGCAAGTCGATCTGTGATATAATATAGTTTCCGATCGATAAAAGAAGTTTCATTTCACATTTTCGTTTGGTTTTCTATTGCAGATTTTTGGTCTCCTGTTCACGTATTTAATCATAGTGGTGCAATTCAAGATGGACGAGAAACGGCCGTGATGCTGATGTTATTCATGAACGCGCGACGACGACAACGTTTATATAATCCTTGAACGAATATGCGTATAATTCTTCGTACGAATTGACAAAAAATGTTTTTCTTCTTGTGTTTCTATCTTCAGAAGCGTGCATCCAGCTGGCAATGAGAAAATCTTAATTGGTACACATACACATACTTGTTACTTGCTTGCGACCTACATCATCATCCTGCAAAAAAAGTGAACGTCATGCAAATGATGAAGGTTATTCATATACTTTTCAAAATTTTCCTGACTCCATGTCTTGGAAAAATCGATAAGCTTTGTCAAAATAAATCATTTTCAGCCACACTGTTGAAGAACACAAATCATTCATTCATTTAATGCATGCACAGTTGAACCTCTGTAAGTTGAATTTCTAGGGAAAAGGAAAAAAATTGACCTAGCGAGGTTTTGACTTCGGGAGTTTTTGATTTTCAGGAGTTTCCAGTTGGGGAAACAAACACTTCGATTGTGTGGAAGAGTGAAAAAAGCGTGGGAGATCATAAATGAGGATGTTCTGGGCCTAAACTTGCTTGTTAATGAGTTTACACCTTGGTGAATTTGGAGGCAGGGGTTCATTTGCTATATTTGTCTTTCACTTACTTTCAAATTATTTGTTTTAATAATTTTATCTTTCATATTTTGAAGAAATAATAACCAGAATGCCTCAGAAAATTTGACTTACAGAGGTTTTTGAGAAAAAGACTTTGAGTTAGGGAGTTTTTCAATGTATAGATTCTAAGGAAATTCAGACAGGGACTTGAACAAAATTTGACTTATGGAGGAATTCAACTTAGGGAGGTTTTACTTATCGAGGTTCACCTGTACATACATACCTGTTATGGTGCTCATGAGTGGGCAACCTGGCTATATTCTGTAAATTAAATTTTTTCTACAGAAGCTGAGGTTTGCATGATACGTAATTCTATAGCAGTATATTTTGAACCAATTTTGACTGGTAAATGTAATGACAATGGATTTTAATGGAAAATTAGTTGAATTCTGGTTGAATTATGGTCAATTCAAATTTTTTGTTCCTATACTTTTGAAATATGGCCAGAGCATGGTCATTGGAAATTGCCTGCATGTCATACTTCAGGATGCAATTTTATAAACACGTCACAATGAAATACCCTGGTGCATGTCTTAATTATGGGTGATGTTGGGTACTTGAGTAAATACAGTGCTGTACACCCATGCTATGATCAACATAGAAACAGAATGTGCAAAAACCCATTCAACCTTTAAAATATCCACATCAATGTGTCTGGTAAATTTGATGCAAAATAATGAAGATATAGGTGACAAAAATCTTGGTTAGCGCAAAATATTCAGCATTTGAACCCTGAATTAAAAATTGAATTTGTACAGCTGCTTTCCAATGATCCATGTTGGGTCACAACTCACAACTCCTAATGCAATGAATGATGCGCGTCCCCATAACGTTAAGCTTTTGAGAGCCACAGGATTTTCTGTTTCTCTCCGGTAGGTGTCGCTGCTCTTGCTGCGAAAATGAAACTGTACCGCGTTTGATTCCAGCAAGCATTGTACAGGCGTGTATACTGACTGTATACATTTAATTAAAAACTCATGTTTTGAGAGTTTCTTCTTTGCCAGGAATGAAAACCATGACGTACTTGATCAATGCACAGGCATGAAACCTGGCAGAATCAGCCAACTTTTCGAAAAAAAAAAAATTAACAACATGAAAAAAATTTAGGCTTTTCAGGGATGTGAACATGGTTGTCTGTATCTTTTGTTCCTTGTAAGATGTACAGTATATGTTCATGCAACAGAAGAATGGCATTTTCTTTTGTGCCAAACAGGATATTTTTGAGATATGGTTTAATTTTTGCTCTTATGTCCTACTGGATATCTGGCAGTTCTTGTAATAGGAATTCCAAAACCATTTGTTCATAATTTCTTGTTATGGTCATCAGATAATCATGCTTCAAAATGTCCATATCACCATATTTAAAGGTACCAGGTGCACATTTTTTCCAGATTTCAAACCAGAAAAAAGGGTGAGTTGGTACCCAAGGATAAAATTTCCATCAAACTTTTTGGAAAACCCTATGCATGTGGTATGTAAGTACAGTAGATTAAAAAGAATTGAAATGAAATGCATGGCGCGTGCAGTCTCATCATTTATGTGGGAATAATGATTGAAGGGATAGAAATTTAATATATTACTTTCAAGAAGGACAATTTTCCTGGAATAATTGGAAAATTGTATCTGAGATGCAACAGGAAGTGAAGAATGTGGCAAATTGTCCTTTATAATAGGGGTAGTTGCCAGTAAATGCGAGAACATTTTACTGCTGCTGCAGTAGACAATAAAAATGAGGAAGCACACTCAAATAATTTTGAAAATGGATCCTAACAGGATATAGGCATGAGATTTTTTTCTTGGGAGAATTCATCAGGACTCTGGCCATTTGCAGCAGTGGGAGCACAGTACTTCCAATTTCACAGTGAAATGTTGTGTACATTATGCTGAAAGTAATGAAGTAAGCATCTGCATTGAAAAATACTTCTGCCATAGTTCATTAAATTTTTAGTTATAAAACAATTATTTTCAAAAATATATTTCAGCCAGCAAAAACTGGGGTGCGCATTATACACAGGGATAACTTTTTGGGCAATTTTCGACCAGAAATTCAGGGGTGCATGCCTTACTGAAGGGCACATGGTGTGCCAAGTAAATACAGTGTATTCATGAAGTTGTAAAGATTTCAACTGTTGAAATTCCTTAACATTTTTTCTGCACCTCTATATTCAACAATTCTGCTTCATGAATGTTACAGGGATTCCATTGTTACTGGTGTGAAACCCTCATATTTTTGGAGGACTAGCACATGAAATTTATCTAATAAGATTCATATGCATTCAAGTGGGAAGCCTTGACAGACTATTTACAAAAAAAATTCAGGGGACCTGGAAAATTCATTGTGGAGGGAATTTGGCTATAGAAGAACCCCTTTGACCCGGAGAGAAAACCAAATGAGACCATACAAAGTATTGCTGTAAGGAGTATTTTGTTGTAGACAAGATTGTTGTAGAAAGAGTCCACTGGCATGCATACGTTTGATACCAAAAGTGAATTTCTTGGATTTATGCAATTTTGAACAAAATAAGCACAACCAAATAGCCTTTTTAATTTTTCGAAATACTCTACACGGATACTCTTCAATTCGAACTTGCGATTCCATTTAATTGCGATTGGAAGATAAAACAGCATTTGAAAATACTTTATATGATGATGTCATGGAATTCCACGGGTTAAAAATTAATGGCCATGAAACGCGTGGAAAAACCTCATTCTTGACAAATAATTGAAGATTGCGGGTGTCAATACGCATTTGACAGGCGCATGACTCCTGTGAATATCCTGATAACGATGACTTGTCAGAGTTGTCACAGACTGACAATGGAAAAAAAAATCCAAGAAGCGTTAATGGAAGTAGTTCTATGCATTTTATTAATGATTTCATATACTGTACAGTAGTTCTGTCATGAATTTCAACCTGTGTTGCAAAGAAAATCAGTCAAAACACGTAGCGCACATTGATCGATCCATGGGAAGCTTTTCGAATAAATTTATTTCGCCTTAAACATGATGAAACTCATTATTGCGGCCTTTTTTGCAGCAATCATTCTTATAATGTTTTTAAAGAAAGGTATGTATGTGTGGAAATCTTGGGAAATTTGAGTAATATTTTTATAAATAAGAAAATTCACAAAAGTTGAAAGAACTGAATCCTTGAAAATTTTCTAGATGGCTTGGAGAAGTGTCCGCATGTCAAGATATTTGGGGGGCAGGAGCCACCACAAAGGACAAAAATGAGGATGAAACTCAGGAATAATGATTAATAACAAATAAAACAAAACAATCAGCCAGGGAACACAGCAGGGAGCCCTTTGGTAAGGACTCCAAAGAGTAAAGAAAGAATATATTTCAAATTGACAAATAAAATAATGAACAACACTCTGCAAGATAAACAACCAGCAGCTCTGAATGCTACAAGAAATGATGCAAGACTGTCAGGGATAAGGGTTTCTTAATATGAACAATTGCGGGGAATTCCCTCTTGGAGTTTTCTGGGTCCATCTGAGGGAGATCGGGCCGCGCACTTGGCGACATCTGTGCCTTACAATATTGTCTGTTGGTCTGTGCATATTTTTGAGTTTCAAGTGTCTACGAGTCTAATATTCTGTATTTCAGGGTCCCGATCCCACAGTATCAATTTCTTACTGCATGGTTTTCGGAAAATCCAAAAAAAAATTGGCAGTTGAAAAAATGGAAATTGTCCTCACGGATTCTTTAAAAACACTGTGCGTTTAAATCAGGTGTCTGTGCATTTAAATTAGGGAAAAAGCATGAGTGTTCATTAGAATTTACAGAAGCTATCCATTTTATGAGCTAAATGCAAAATGCCTGTTGATTGGCTGATATTTCCTCAGCGAAAATCCTGCACATTTTTTTCTCATCAATTATGTCCAGCCATCATTATTATTTTTTTTACCAGCGCATGAGACGACAGAAAAATTTCCCACTTGTTGTCTACCATCTCATCCATGTCCGGACTTCAAGAATCCATGTCCTATTGTTCGCTACTCCATGTGGCAAAGAGGAGATTCCTGACAAACCGGAAGATGGACTTCCGTGTTGCAGAGTTGCTATCGACGCAAGAGGCCTTTTCATAGTCTTTCACACTGACTTTTGTGACACTACGCAGAACGTTGGGACCTTACCACAAGACTTCGAAGTAGCCTCATGCTGTCACACCCACGAAGATGGACATGTTGTTTGTGACCAGTATTCTTGCATGATTTCACCAACGATGAGTGAATCCGATTTGAAAGGACCGAAGATTCCCCTGGGGGAATTGGGACACGGGGTCGCTCACTTGCACAAGTGTTGCTTCCCCTCTTGTGCGATGCTTGAGTGCATTCCAAGTTTTTCGTACCCGTGCGGCGTTTGATTCCAGAAAGAAAGCCCAAGCACGGATATCC